TATATATATAATACCTTATATATAAAAAAGCATCAGCAGCTGCAGGCGTAGCCCTCTTATCTAAGGGCCTGTGACTGGCGCTCATGGACGAGTGCCCCCTGTGGACGGCAGCCAAGACCCAGGGCAGGTTCCTGATGCAGATGCGGCCCACTCTCCAGTCAGCCCCGGAGTAGCGGCACCCTGTAACCGCATTCCCATAGTTGGTTCCTTGTCACAAGCCCAGGAGCTGCTGTGGCAAGAGCAACCCTCTCCAACTCGTTCAAACTCGCCTGATTCAGAGGGTGAAGGCGCTTAGTTCTAGTAATCTTAATAAATCCAGAGCTTGAGAGGCAGAAGGGACGTTTGGAACATGCTGTCCAAGCCTCCCATTTGTACGCAGAGCAAAGGAGACTTGGGCAGGATGTCACTGGCTCGAGGTCACTGAGCTGGTGCCAGAATCTGGTTCTCGGACTGTCCTGGTCCAAGAGAGGTGCTTCTCTTTCCTGGGAGGTTTGGCCACCACTGTTGCCTCTTATAACCTTCGTCTTTTCCTGTCTCCAATTACCTCATTCAGCCGAATGTCCAAGGAAGAGTAGTTAGAACAAAATAAAGGAGAAAAATTCTTCCCAAGTTTTTTCCCAAGCTCTCTGTTCTCCGGGATCATTCATTCTTCGGAAAATGTTTCCTAAATGCCTGTTATGTGTGTGGCCCCCATCACAACCCGGGTTCACAGAGATGAAAATGAGATGGCCCAGTCTCCAAGGAGCTCCTGGGGCAGTCACCATGAAAACGCTCTCTTCGTGAAACCTCTGCTCTAGGAAAAGAAAGTCCTTCTTCTAACCTGGTTCCCTTTAGTCACGTGTGCACGGAGAAGTCCTCTCATGGCCTCTTTACTTCCTGAGAATTTCCATTCATGCCCATCTGGCAGCTTCTGCTACCTGGACCGTGGGCCCAGGTGGTATAGTGAGCAGAGAAAAGGCGGCTGCCTTACTCTGGAGGGCTTGTCCCCACTCCATGTGCCTCTTCCTCACCCTTAGGGTTTGCATGACACCTCAGGATGGCTTCCTCCCTGCTCCCTCCTGTCCCTGAAGAGTTTGGCTTTGCCCTCAGCTGAATCACTGTCTTCCCCCAGGCTGCCCCATTGCTTCGGTTCCTCCAGCCTCTCCCCAGTCACCATCTTGGTGCAGTTGAGTTGCCTTGAGTCCAGCGCTTTGAGGCCTTGGCTACAAAAACAGCATAGTTCAGTGGCAACTCTGACTGTCGTGTGCAAGTGAGGAAACGTGTCCAGTGAAAGGTTGGACTGGAGATTCTGATGTCCCTTCCAGCTCTAGCATTTCTGAAAAGGTATATGCAAAGGTGACAGCCTGGAAGGTTCTAGAAGGGTTCTACTGCGTGTGTCCAGACCTAGGACCAACTCCTCGCAGCATTTTAAATGAATGTGGGCACTGAGTTTTGCTCCTGACTCTCCCTACTCTCAGAAGAGGTCTCCTGGTTAGAGACTGCGGTGCAGGGAACCGGGATGCTGAGGGCCAGGACACACACTCACACTCTTGTTGTCTATGGAAGGGTCCCCAGAAGAAGTGGTGCTCCTTCCTCCTCTGCTCTAGTTAACACCCTTCTCTGTGCTGAACACTGATGAATGGACCCCAGAAGGCAATGCTGGGTTCCCAACTCCGAGAGGGCCCACAGGGCACCACCATCTACTCTAACAAGCCGTGACACGCCACTTATTTGCTCTTCTGGAGAAACCTCAGCCTGAAATCTGTTTAATTACCATGGAGATAATCTTTTAAACATAGCTTTTACATTCTTTAAAGACTTTTCCCTGTGGGAGCGAGAAGGTTTAGCTGACCGTGGGACGGGATTATTTATTTTCATTTCCAGAGGAAGGACTATCACCTGGTAGTCATCAGGGGGCCTGTGCCATGGAGGATTTATTTTTAAGTCTGCCTCCTCGCTGATAGTTTGTCAATGAGGTTGTAATAATTAGTTTGTAGTACCGTCTTACTTTTTCTCAGTGTGAACCTTGCACGTTGCTCTGTGATTCGAGGCCTGTAATTACTTGATGTTTGAAAAGTATCCCTGTCAGGTTGGGTTCTGTACTGACCCTGGCTGTGGGTATCAAGAGCCAATATCTTCAAGGGTTTCCTCTCAGGAAGATTATAGCTGTAAGCCATTAGCCTCAAAGAGCTACCTGGCGCTGCAGTCAGTCCGACACCGATTTTTCCCACCCGGGCGTCCCAGCAGATTCATAAGTTCTTCCCACTAGAATGCACGCTTGGGCCAGCAGGGGCTCCAGTTGGTGTGCAACCTGGAGGCCCTAAGGCCCAGGGCGATCCCTGCTCACAACAGGTAGACTGTGAAAGCCAACAGGTCTTCATGTGGAGAGGACGTGCTGTATCGAAATAGGAACAATGTACAGAATAAAGCAGAGCTGGTGGGCCCTAGTCCCTGGTCTGCTGCTCTAGTCCTTTCCCCACATCACTACCAGCAAGCGGTCTGGGGCATTGGCTGGACCTGATTCTGTAGGCTGAGATCTCTGGGCCTCGGAGAACAGACCTCTGGGGAGTAAGAAGATGAAAGGTGTAATTCTATCGAACGCAGAATTAGAAGGTTAGAAAAAAAATTGTTTGTGGAAAACTGATTAAACCTTGGGCTTGAATCTCTCCTTCCAGGTCCTGCCGGGGAGAAGAGCTGGCCCAAGAACTACCCGTCTTGTGGGGGCCTGATGCAGTCCCCAATAGACCTGCACAGTGACATCCTCCAGTACGATGCCAGCCTGGTGCCCCTTGAGTTCCAGGGCTATAACGTGTCTGCCAATGAGCAATTAACCCTGACCAACAATGGCCACTCAGGTGAGGGAGACACCCCAGAGACCTGCAGGTGTCCAGCTTCCCTAGGCTGCCTGCCTGCCCTCGTCCATCTGCCGGGGAGGGGGCTCCACTGAGGCACCAGGGGGAGGGCCCCAGACCACTCCCTCCAGGGGTGCTGGGGGTCCTGGGCTCAGCCCCTTCTGCCAGGGCAGCACCTGTCAGAAAAAGCACGTGTCTTGGGATGGGGGAGGGGACAGGCCCGGGCCCCTTTGGCCACTGGCTGTGGCGTGGGAGTGAATTCTTGGGCATCATGAACTCAAGGAGCCACACAGTTCATTGCGGGCCCGCACCCAGGCTTTGGAGTCAGACAAACCTGGATCTGAATTCTGGCTTGAGCGTTCACCTGGAAAAGGGGCATATGGGTGGGTACTGTGAAGACGAGAGAGTATGTATGTTGGGATCTGTTATCGAGTAGGTGTTTCATAAATGGCAATTACTATTGTTGCTGTGATAGAACTCTACAGCTTGGCAGGCGCTTCATTAAAGGTTCTGTCTTCACGGTCAGGTGTGCGATGCATGGACATGTGAACGAGCATCCGTTGGTCTAGTATCAGTGTTCCTGCCATCGTTTTCCATTTTCCAAGGGGAACCAGGAAGGTGCTGGTGCCGCTGGGATTGCTTTAGTGAAACAGGGAAGGAGGCCCTGTGCCTGACCCGCAGGCTGTGTTTCTCGGGTCTCCACTTTGCTGTATCCACCTGCCCCCTGTATGGGACCCAAGCAGGTGCTGTCTACCTGACTCTGAAGGTCACCTCTCCACTCCCCGCAGTGAAGCTGAAGCTGCCCCCGGGCATGCATATCCAGGGCCTGCCATCCCGCTACAGCGCCACCCAGCTGCACCTGCACTGGGGGGACCAGAATGACCCCCACGGCTCCGAGCACACTGTCGGTGGGAAGCACTTCGCTGCCGAGGTGAGTGGGGTGGCCAGGCTGGCAGAAGCTGCCCCGGGTGGGCGATCTGGCATTCTTCCCCTTGGCTGGTGTGCAGATAAGACCAGAGCATGGGGGTGGCGGCGGGGGGGCTGTAAGATCAGTGACGGGGTGGGGGTGGGAGTGCGGGCTCTGCCTTCATGCTCTCCACAGCCACACCCAGCCGTGAGCAGCACAGGACGGTGTAGCCACTCCGGCCACACTGCAGCTCCTCTGCGGTGTCCGGGTCCCCTCTCTCTCCTAAACAGGCTGAGTTTGTCTCTGTATCGTCTACTGAGCGATGCTGCTCAGAAGGCAGTGCTCCGGGGGGCACGGTGGGACATATATGCCCGTTTTCTAGACATCGCCCTTCTGTTGGCACAGATCCCACCAGCTCGTCCAGCTGATGCACCCCCTGCTGAATTACCCTGGGCTAACCGTTCCCCCAACTTCTCAGTCTTCTCCACATGCCATGTTGTTGGCACAGGTCTTTCCCGTCCCATCTTTCCTGTCCCTGAACATGGGCTGTGCTTGGAACTTGGGACCCAAGTCCAGGACTACTGTTTTACTCGGCCACAAACCAAGGGATGGCTGGCGTCATAACGTGCAGGGCATCACGGCAACCAGAGACTCCCGAGGACAGCTTGGGGTGTCAGCAGAGCACTGTGTTACGTAGCCCTGAAGCACTAACCCAAAATGCAAAGGAAGACAGGAGGAGGCGTGGCGGTGCGATGGTGGGAGAGGGGGAGAGTTGCTTTACACCAGAGCTCCCATGGACTTGAACTTGGGGTGTGTTCTGAATGTTTACAGGGCAGTACGAGGAGGTAAATATAACTGATCAGCCAGTGGAGCCCACAGTAAATACTGACACGACCGCTCTCCTCTGTTCTTAATTGCTGAACTGCTTAATGCCTCAGGCTAATTACAGGTTGAGCTCCGAATGTGGAAAGACTATAATGCTGGCCCAGTTGCATGGCACTGCTGGAGGTGCGCATATTCCAGGCCAGGCCCCTCTCTGAAACCCCAGGACTGCGAGTTCTTCCAGGCTAATTGCCCCATGGAGGCCCCTACTTTCCCCTGGGGAATAAAGGAGTGAGGGTGTAGGCCGGGAGGGTTTGGACATTTAAAAATATTTCTAGTTCTTGTATTTTCTGCTATTAAGCCACATCATCAGGCCAAGAGCCTGGTGAGGATGGACCATAGATGTCAATAACAGAGAAAGTGCATCAGGTGAACCCTAAAGTGGCGGGTTCTCTATGGAGGGTCCGTGGGAGTTGGAGGTTCTTCTGGGTGGAGTGTGTGTAAGACAACGCCATCCTCGCAGCAGGGCTTCCCTTCCGTTTGTATTAGTCTTCACCTCCTCTCGATTTAGTCTGAACGCAGTGCCCACAAGCTCAAAGGTCAGCTGTAAAAAGAAATAAGGCTCTAGGACCTCCGGGGTTTTAACCAGATAGGATTCTGTTCCTTTTGTCAAAGCGATGCCAGGCAAGGATGGTGTTGGACAACAGGGGAGGCTGCATCCTTTGGGGGGTGGGGTGGGAGGGGGGGGGGAGATGGTGAAGTAGGAGCCCCTAAGAAATTCTGAATAGAGGTCCACATAAAAAAAAGCAATAGTTTGATGTAATTTTTAAAAATTAGGAGGGGCCACTGGAAAAGTGGAGAACATTGAGCTGTATTTGAACATTGAGCATTGAGCTGTATTTAATAAAACATTCTTGAATTCTAAATATAACCATATAAGATGGAAAAAGAGGCAAAGAATCAACAAAAATGCATGTGTCATACCTACAGATCTGTTTACTAATATGGTTTTTTGGAGAACAAATGACACCACCTTTAGGATTAAAAAGCAGGTTATCAACGTTGTCAGAATGTGTCCCAACAATGCCTTAATGCTTCCCTAGACTTGTTTCCACTTGAGACCAAATACTAGACCTGCGATTTTCTCTACCTGAGGGATACATGCGTGTCCTACTGAGGATACAATTACAATTAAGTTACAGTTAGAGGTTTACTGCCCCAGCCCCCACTGCTTCCAGATCAAGTGCATAGAGGCCAGACACATGAGGCCGTTTTGCCCCGGGCTCCAGAACAAGTAAGGAAAATTAGAAGGGAGAAGTGTGCCAAAGTACCAGGCTAGTATAAAAACCCATTTGATGATTCATTCATTCTTCATCCATTCAATATTGTGCACCTGGTACTTTCCACGCAGGATATCAGACACGGGGATACAATGAATTAGTAAGGTGGACAGTCTGGCCTGGCAGTTTGCAGGGAGGAATGAGGGAAAAGGGAAACTGTGGCGGCCATGAGGGGAGGGTCTGAGAGGCGTGATCTAACTGGGGGGAGGTCGGTCCTGCCCATGGGACTCCAGTCTCTTGCAAAAGCCAGAGGTTCCCATGCGTCGTCCATCCCCTCATCAGCGGCTTCTCGCCCACTGCAGCTGCACATTGTCCATTATAACTCGGACCTGTACCCCAACGCCAGCATCGCCAGTAATGAGTCAGACGGCCTCGCTGTCCTAGCTGTTCTCATCGAGGTAAGAGATGTTAAGAGGGGTTTTACGTGAAGTCTGAAGCTGGGATGACATCAAACTCGGCATTTGGTTCCATGCGACTGGTGTCTTGCCTCCAGAGCAGGGGGTTGTTCCCCATAGAGTTCCTTCTCTCTTGGCCTGGGGGCAGCACTTCCTGTGGCTGAGCAGCAGAAAGGGGCATGTCCTTCGTGACATCGGGAAAATGAGCCCTAGTCCCCATCCCCAATGCGTAAGGGATGGAATTGCCCAGTTGGACAGGACATGTGAGTGTGTGTGTGTGTGTGTGTGTGTTTGAGGGGGAGGTAGTGGTGGTGGTGGTGGTGAAGTAGGAATCATTCAGTTCTGTTCCATCAAATGCCTGAACCCCTGACACAACTCCAGGCATCCAAGTTCCATCCGTATGGACCCTGGAATGAGTTCTTTCCTGGTCCCAGAAAATGGGAACCTCTCCCGATTCCCCTGCATTATTTTCCCCTAATGAGACAGTGTGTGCCTTGTTTCTCAACATGCGCACCGCCTGGCCTGGCGGCATGAGCTCAGGCTCCCTCGAGTTCTGGTTAGAGAACAAGCCTTCGGGCTCACAGCGGGTCATCGGGAGCATAGGCTACATCGCTTGCCCTGGGACACTCCAGCCCAGTGGCCTGGGTGGAAACAGCACATCCTGAGCTACAGGAAGGCAGGATCGTTCTACCAACCCCGTGCCAGCCTAGAGACCCATCGTAACTGTCCTCGTAAAGGGCATTCTTCAGGGAGGCCTGGCAGCAGTGACCATGGCCCCAGCCAAGCCCTCCCACTGCCATTGTCAGTCCAGGCTCGGCCTATAGAAATCTATCCCAGTTCAACCCGCCCTGTCTCTGTTGCAGATGGGCTCCTTCAATCCTTCCTACGACAAGATCTTCAGTCACCTTCAGCACGTGAAGTACAAAGGTGAGGGGTCCTGGATGCTGCTTCGCCCTCTGTTGGGACGGATGTAGTGACTCCCGTGTGACCTGAAGAAAAATGAATGCTGAGGGCAGGTGTCTGGGACCAGGTCCCTGGGTCCGATGGCCCGGAAAGGGGCTAGTTCACGTTTCTAGGCTCAGTCACATGCTCAGCTGCTCCTCTGCTGTGGGGAGCGAGGCCGACACATCCCCCAACCTGTCTCTCCAGGCCAAGAAGTGCACATTCCCGGCTTCAGCATTGAAGAGCTGCTGCCCGAGAGGCCGGCCGAGTACTATCGCTACAGAGGGTCCCTGACCACGCCGCCCTGCAACCCCACGGTGCTCTGGACGGTGTTCCGGAACCCCGTGCACATTTCCCAGGATCAGGTGAGTGTCGGCCCCTCCACATCAGAGGCCACAGGCATTACCCATGGCCTCCCCAAAGGCTTGCTTTCCTCACAGTTTCACTGGCTACTACCCCAACCTCCCAAATGCCACAGGCGCCTGGGAAGCACTGTGTGGGACTATCAAGTCTAACAAAAACGAATCCATCTCCACCGGTTCTTTAAATAGAGTTGCCAAGTTGCATTTCCCAGGATATCCCTGGGTGGGTGGTGTTCACTCCCAGGTGGGA